AAATAATGACCTTGTCACATTCAAAAACTTTTTTTTTATTCATATGTGCATACAAAGCTTGGGTCATTTCTCCCTCCTGCCCACCCCCTCCCTTACCACCCACTCCACCCTCTCCCTCTCCCCCCCACTCCCTCAATACCCAGCAGAAACTATTTTGCCCTTATCTCTAATTTTGTTGAAGAGAGAGTATAGCAATAATAGGAAGGAACAAGGGTTTTTGCTAGTTGAGATAAGGATAGCTATACAGGGAGTTGACTCCTAAAAAATTAGCTAGCATTTGTTGCCATCAATGCAGAAACACTAAAGCAGATACCTTAAAAGCAACTGAGGCCAATAGGAGAAGGGGACCAGGAACTAGAGAAAAATTAACCTAGAAGGTAACACACATGCACAGGAAATTAATGTGAGTCAAAGACTTTTTTAAATTAACTTCTTTTTTTTTCATTTATTCACATGTGCATACATTGTTTGTGCCATTTCTCCCCCTGCCTCCATCCCCTCCTTCTCCCCCAACCTCCCTTCACTTTCAGGCAGAACCTGTTCTATCCTTATCACTAATTTTGTTAAACAGAAAACATAAGCAATAATAAGAAAGACAAAGCATTTTTGCTAGTTGAGATAAGGATAGCTATACAGAGAGAGTCCTAGCATTGCTTCCATGTACAAATGTGTTATAACACAAGTTGATTCATCTCTACCTGACCTTTTAAATAGTTCCTGATCCCCTTCCTATTTTGACCTCTGTCACTTTAAGGTTTCTGTATTAGATCTTCTACAGTGAGGACATCAAACGCTTTGATATTTTGGGTATTCTACCTATTCCCATACCTCCTGTATGTGCTCTCCCCTTGCCAAGTGACCCAAGTCCAACCACATTGCTAATTTTGCCCTAGATCTAAAATCTGCATATGAGGGAGAACATACAACTTTTGGTCTTCTGAGACTGGCTAACCTCACTCAGAATGATGTTCACCAGTTCCATCCATTTACTTGAGAATAATAAGATTTCATTCTCCTTCATGGCTAAGTAAAATTCCAATGTATATAAATACCACATTTTCTTAATCCATTCATCAGTAGTGGGGCATCTTGGCTGTTTCCATAACTTGGTTATTGTGAATAGTGCTGCAATAAACATGGGTGTTCAGGTGCCTCTGGAGTAACCTGTGTTACATTCCTTTGGGTACATCCCCAGGAGTGGGTTTGCTGGGTCATATGACAGATCTATGTTTAGATTTTTAAGGAGCTTCCATATTGTTTTCCAGAGTGGGTGCACTAGCTTGCATTCCCACCAGCAGTGTATGAGAGTTCCTTTTTCCCAACATCCTCACCAACACCTGTTGTCAGTGGTGTTTTTGATGATGGCTCTTCTAACACAGATGAGGTGGAATCTTAGTGTGTTTTTGATTTCCATTCCCTTTATGGCTAGAGATGGTGAGAATTTTTTCCATATGTTTTTGGACATTTGAATTTCTTCTTTTGAGTAAGTTCTGTCTAGTTCAGTTGCCCATTTCTTTATTGGTTCATTTATTTTAGGAGAGTTTAGTTTTTTGAGTTCTCTGTATATTCTGGTTATCAGTCCCTTGTCTGATGTATAGCTGGCAAATATTTTCTCCCACTCTGTAGGTGGAGCCTTCAGTTTAGAGACCATTTCTTCTGTTGTGCAGAAGTGTTTTTAATTTTATGAAGTCCCATTTGTCCATCCTTTCTCTTAGTTGCTGAGCTGCTGGGGTTCTATTGAGAAACTCCTTGCCTAAATCTATTACTTCCAGAGTATTCCCTGCTCTTTCCTGTACTAACTTCAGAGTTTCAGGTCTGATGTTAAGGTCCTAGACCCATTTTGAGTTAATACTAGTACAAGGTGAAAAACATGATCTAGTTTCAGCTTTTTGAAGGCATATAACCACTTTTCCCAGCAACATTTGTTGAAGAGGCTGTCTTTTCTCCATCGTATATTATTGGCATCTTTGTCAAAAATAAGGTGGGCATAGCTGTGTGGATTCATATCCAGGTCCTCTATTCTGTTCCACTTGTCTTCAGGTCTGTTTTTGTGACAGTACCATGCTGTTTTTATTGCTATTGCTTTGTAATATAGTTTGAAATTGGTATTGTAATACCTCCAGCATTGCTCTTTTTGCTGAGTATTGCCTTGGCTATTCACGGTCTCTTGTGTTTCCAAATGAACTTTAGGGTAAAATTTTCAATCTTTGTGATGAATATCATTGGAATTTTGATGGGAATTGCATTGAACATGTAGATTGCTTTTGGTAGTATAGCCATTTTTGCTATGTTGATTCTACCAATCCATGAGCATGGGAGATCTCTCCACCTTCTGTATTCTTCTTCGATCTTTCTTCAGGGGTTTGTAGTTCTCCTTGTAGAAGTCATTCCTGTCCTTTGTTAAGTTTACTCCTAGGTATTTAATTTTTTTGAGGCTATTGTAAATGGAATTGTTTCCATATATTCATTTTCAATTTGTTTGTGGTGTATAGAAAAGCTAATGATTTTTGTAAGTTGATTTTGCATCCTGCCACCTTCCTATAGCTGTTGATGGTGTCTAGGAGTTTTAGGGTAGAGTTTTCTGTGTCTTTAAGGGTAGGATCTTATCATCTGCAAATAGGGATATTTTTGTATTCCTTTTATTTCATCTTCTTGCCTAATTGTTCTGGCTAGGAATTCCAATACTATGATGAATAGGAGTGGGGATAGTGGGCACCCTTGTCTCATTCCTGATTTTAGGGGAAATGGTTTCAGCATGATGTTGGCTGTAGGTTTGTCATTTATAGCCTTTGCAATGTTGAGGTACTTTCCTTCTATTACTAGTTTTCCTAAAGCTTTTATCATGAAGTGGTGTTGGATCTTATCGAAGGCTTTTTGTGCATCTATTGAGATGATCAAGTGGTTTTTGTCTTTGCTTCTATTAATGTTCTGTATTACATTTACAGATTTATTCATGTTGAAACACCCTTGGGATGATACCAAGTTGGTCGTGGTGAGTGTTCTTTCTGATGTGCTGCTGGATTCGGTTTGCCATTATTTTATTGAGGATTTTTGCATCAATATTCATTAATGAGATTGGCCTATAGTTCTCCTTTTTTGACATGTCTTTGTCTCGTTTTGGGATGAGTGTAATGCTGGCTTCATAAAATGAGTTAGGCAGTGTTCCTTCCCTTTCTTTTTCATGGAACAGTTTAAGGAGGGTTGGTATTAGTTCTTCTTTAAATGTCTGATAGAATTCAGCAGAGAATCCATCCCACCCTGGATGGGATTTTCAAATTCATTAGAAGATAGGTTCTCAAAGTAGTCTCTGATGATTTCCTGAATTTCCATGGTGTTTGTTGTTATCTTCTTTTTTGCATTTCTGATTTTATTGATTTGAGTTTTTTTTCTCTCCTCATTTTAGTCAGTTTTGTCAAGGTTCTGTTAATCTTATTTATTTTTTCAAAGAACCAGCTTTTTGCTTCATTGATTCCTTGTATTTTGTTTGTTTGTTTGTTTCTATTTCATTGATTTCAATCCTTATTTTTATTATTTCTCTCTTTCTGCTTGTTTTGGCATTCACTTGTTCTTGTTTTTCTAGGAGTTTGAGATGTACAAAGATTTTTCTATGCTTATTCTCAATTGAATTCCCAACTCAAAACAGATATATCTAATGAAACCAAGGAATGAGTATTGAAAGACTTCTTAGACACTTCATCTTCACCTTCCAATCATATTCCATTTAATTCTAAGACAAACAGTTTTTGTGGTACCAGGGCTTGAACTCATGGTCTGAACTCAAGTACAACCTGTTGGGCAGGTGCTCTTCTACTTCAGTTACACACCAGCCAGCCCTAAGACAAATATTTTATTGCTCTAATTTGTCTTCCATTCTATGTGAAGACCGTGTGATCCAATATTGAAAAGGCCTACATCTACATCACAGTTTGTTTGCTAAGATATTTGTTTTTTGCAATTCATTTATTTAGTAACTATGTTAGTGAATGTCCACCAAAGGGTAAAGTCTCTGTGTTACAGAAAAGAAGAAAACACTGTTTGAAATTATGTGAAAGTATGCCAGCTCTTCCACTGTGTGGATATATTTTGTCTCCTTAGACTTCTGTGGTTTCCAAAAGATCTTCTCTTTGATTTTCCCTGGTACTCTTATTCCTATACCTGTCCATGGAATCAAAATAAAAAAGATACATATATAAGTGGCCATAATAGATTTTAACAAAAACTGAAGAAAACAAGAAGCTTGATTTGTATTGCAGTGCAACTTATACATCTATTAAAACCGTATTACACCTGAACACATTTTTCAGGAAGTAGTCTTGAATTAAGATGACCAAAATTATTGTATTTGTTGAAATTAACTTATTTGTATGGATTGGGTTAAGTGGTCTCAATAAGCCAAGTACAACATTTGGCCAGCAACTTTTAAGATAATTGCCTTAGAATTCACTCATTCCTACAAATGCTGCTCATTACACATGTTTCTTGGCCTGCTAAGATTTGTCTTCCAATTACTCAAATCTTTTTAAATGATTATTGTTTCCTCAGCATAAAAGTGGGAAAAATGTAAGGTTTGATTTCAAATTATTTGTGTTCCAGTTCCCATTCTTTCCCTAACTAGCTCTCTGATGATGTGTTTTAAAAAATCTTATTCTCATTAATCTTCATTTTCTCACATGTTATATAGGAACAGTACATTCTAAGTCAAAGATTACATGAAACAATGCACATTAAAGCATTTTATAAGTTACAAAAATATATAAAGATATTAGTAAATATGTAGTTACATATGCTTAACATAAAAAAATATAAAATTTGTGTAAACGCAAATTACAGGTAATTATCTTATAAAATGTCTCCATGTATGACAACAAAGAAAATGAACAAAGTTAACCAGAATATTCTATTCTTTAGCTTTACAAAATTAGAATGTATAATAGTCTTCAATGTCTGGCTAATCACCTTATAATTGCACAGCCTAGCTTCACACAAGGCTACATAGGAGCTCACCTTTTCTCCATGTCTTTGATGGTGTCAGGAAGTGGAAGATTAAAGGTCTCTGGTAGAAAGTAGACACATATTGAGGATACTATGGGAAAGGTCCCATAGAGAATCATGGGAAGATGTATAAAATACCTTCTGGTCACAAGTGTTAAAGCAGAAAGTGTTGCTGCTAATCTGCTAGCAAAAATACAAATGCTCTGTAGAGTTGACCTTCAAAAAAAGAAAACATTTCCTGAAAAAGTCTGAATTAGTGACTTGAATCCATTTTTCTAACTCTAGCTCATGTGTACTATTACTCAGTGCAGTTTTCTTAGACCACCCAAGGCCAATGCAGGCTTTTCCTGCTACAAATGTCATTAATGCTATATACACATCCCAATCCATGCCAACAGATTCAAAAGAAAGCATTATTTCTATTTTAGACATAATTAGTTTATTTTCTCAGCTACACTGTAAGTTTAAAACTATAGTTTTTGTTTTACACAGAATGTACAAGCTGTATGTGATTTTCACTTTTCTCATCAGTAAAACAGAGAAAATACATTAATTCAAAGGCTATATTGTGTAATATTGTGGTTACCTAAAAAAGCACAAGACAAAAAGTTATATTTGAGTTTCAGATAAGCAGACATAATTTTTTGTATAAGTAGGCACCATTCAATATTTATTCACCTATTTATTCATCTATACCCATTTCGTATACATTTTCTCATTTGATTTATATAAAAATCTCTATTATCATCAATGGACACATTTCATGGACTTCATAATATAAATGACAAAATTGAACTTTAAAATAATTAAGGATACTGGAAACAAGTACAAGATCATTCAGGACCACTCACACTACCCCATAGGGCTGGATGAGGGTCAAATGGAGGGAATGGCTAAATGGTTCAAAGTTTCAATTATGCACGATAAATAAGGTCTGTAGCTTTACTATTCAACACAGAGCATATAGCCAAGGTTGATTTGTCTTAAGTGCTTTTGCCACAAATAAAGATAACATAACAAAAGAGCTGGAAAAAGTTAGGGAGATGAAAAATACATTCACAGCTTTTATAATTGTAACAGTTTTAGAGATGTATAATTGTCCTCAAACTCATCAAGTCATACATATTAAATATATACAGCTTTTTATGTTATTTATACCTAATTCAGTGCCTTTTAAAAAGTTTGTTTTTGCTGAGTATAGTGTTTCACACCTATAATTCCAAGTATTTGGAGTGTGATTTGAAGCTGGACAAAGAGAAGTTAAGAAGACCCTATCTCAAAACCAAAGTAGAAACAAAATGGTTAGGGGGGATATTTCAAGTGGTAGAGCACTTGCTTAGCATGTATAGGCCCTGTTGTTCATTACCCAGTACCACAAAAAAAGTGAATTTAGTTTTTTCTTGAAAATCCAATACTTTTTCACCATATTTTCTTTGTTGATTAATATCCTACACCATGACACTTGGAAATTCAGTGAGTCATCTGCTAACAAACAAAAAATGGTATGCTCTCTGTTCTAAGGGACTAGAATCCCCTAAGGATTCTAGATATTTCATCATAAGATTTCCTCCTCGGATGGAGAATCATGAAATGGTCACTGATAATGAAAAGTTTTAACTTCAGAGAGCATGAATTATTTGGTAACAGGATTAGAAGAGCTCTCAATGGTTTTCTGAAACAGTGGATTATTAACAGAAACATTATAGGTCTGCACCAAATACATAAATTAGCAAGCTCATTTCAAAACAATTATTTTCCATTGTTTTTATTTAGCCATGTTGTCTGAAATTCTGCCATTACATATTAAACATATTAGATTTTGAAAATGTTTCAAGATTCTCCGTTGAAGCAAAAACAGACTGAAATTATCTTCCATCAGTGATTGAGAATATGCTAGTGGGAATACTGAGATGAGTAGTAGGCTTGGCAAATAGGTATAATTAGTAAGTTTCAAAAAGAACAATGGTTATTTTTGGTATGGGAGATCCAGTCTTGAACTGGAAGTTCTAATTACAGAAGAAACAGGTCCGTAGTTGTAGGTGTGTAATACCAGTCATGATGTTTTACTTTGGGGGAGACATACTGTTTGCAAATGAAACTATCTTTAGGAAGCGGCATCTTTTAAAATTTGCACAAAGCTTTTCTTTGAGCCATCGAAGAGCATCTGAAATAGGCTAGGATAGATTACTATTCTAAACCTGGGTTGGGGGTGGAAAGTTAATTAGACCATACCCTGAAATCTCTGCAAGTAGGAGCTTTAGAAAAATGACAATGGAGAAGGAGTTGGGAAAGTCTTCCAGGATAATTTGGTCTGCAAAAACAAAAAATGACAAGGGCTTGCTATGTGTCACACATTAATTTCTGAACATTAGTTGAAGTACTTTTTCAGTGAAGTGTAGTTTACTTTTTAAATTTTTCTGGAAGCTTCCAGAAATATCCAAACAAGATTCTCACAATGGACCATATGGTGGAGCAAACCTATACTCCCAGCATTCAGGAGGCTGAGGCAAAAGGATTACAAGTGTGAGGCCAACATGGGATAAGTAGTGAATTCCAGGCCAGAAAGATCCTAAAAGAAAAAAGAGAGAGAGAAGAAAAGAAAAAGAGAGGGAGGGAGGAAGGGAGGGAAAGAAAGAGAGGGAGGGAGAGAATGGAGAAAGAAAGAAAGAGAGAGAAAGAAAACAAAACACAACAAAAAATAAGTTTCTTTTCTTACCTGAGTATTGTTGGTGAGAGTTCACTGCCAAAGACTAGAAACAAGGAAGTAAAGGTCGAAAAGGATGCTTTCCCCAAGAGAATGATAATAAGCCGCAAAATGTGCATCTCTGTGAACAGTATTTTGGAAACAAGAATTGGGACTGTGTCAACATTTATTTACTTTTTCATTTATTAATTTTACAAATGTTTCCTAAGTATTCACCAATAGGCAATTATACAGATTCAAGCTTTGCATAAGTAGGTTCATAAAAGATTGACATAAGTGTAATCATAAGTAAAATAAGAGATATTACAATGAATACCACAAAAATAAAAAAGATAAGGGATTATTATGAGCAATTGTATACCAACAAATTTGGCAAATTAGAAGAAATAGATAATTTCCTAGAAACATTGATACAACCTACCAACACTACATCAAAAATAAAAAGAAAGCCTGTGTAGACGGATAACATATAAGGAGACTGAATCCGTCATCAAAAATCTTGAACAAAGAAGGCTCAGGACCAGATGATTTTCAGGTGAGTTTAGCAAACACTTTTAAAAGAACTAATATGAAGCCTATTTAAATTCTTCCTCAAAAATGAAACTTTACAAACTCATTTTGTGAGACCAACATCACCCTGAAAGCAAAGCCAAACAAACAAACAAAAAAAAAGAAAACCATACACCAATATCTATAATGAAAACAGAAATAGAGAATCCCAATAAAATGTTAGCAATAGAAATTAAGTAGCACATAGAAAATCATCATTAAGATCTCTGAAATTTATTCCAGTATGTAAGGATTTTTCAGCATATACAAATCAATGAATGTGATACATCACAAAACTGAATGAAACACAAAGATCAAATGATCATATGAAAAGATGCAGAAAAAACACTTAACAAAATTCAACACTTTTTCACAATTAAAAAAAAAACTCTAGACGTATTATGTACAGAATAAAGAACTTACCTCGACACAATAAAAGCCATATATGAAAAGCCCACAGCTAACATCACACTTAACAGCAACAAACTGAAAGAGTTTTCTTGAAGATTTAGAACAAGGCATGAATGCACACCCTTCTAGGTCTACAGAAAATAATACTAAAAGGCATAGTCAGAAAAATTAGTCAGGAAAAAGAAAGAAAATCCTTTATGAAAATAAAAAAGACGTTAAATTGTCTCTGTGTAGAACAGTCTACAAAAAAAGCCTGTTAAACCAAAACATTTTTTGTAATTCCAAAAAATTGCAGAAAACAAAATCAGCATACAAAAATGAGTTCTGTTTCTATACACCAGCAGTAAACTGTTCAAAAAGGGGAATTAAGAAAACAATCCCATTCACAGCAGCACTAAAAAATAAATACTTAAAAATAACATAAACTAAGGATGTGAAAGAATTGGACACTCAAAGGTATAAAACACTGATTTCAGAAATTTTAAAAGATACAACAAAATGAAAATGAATCGATCTGTGCACATGGATCGATTGAAAGAAACAGTAGTCTGAAAATATTCATACTACCTCAAGCAACCTTCATCTAATGCAATCCCTATCAAAATCTCAATGCCACTTTCTACACAAAAAGAAAAAAGTCCAAAATTCATATGGAATCACCAAAGACACTAAATAGTTAAAGCAATTTGGGGCAAGAATAACAAAGCTGGAAGCCTGACCCTTCCTGATTTCAAAATATTAAAAAGAGACATAGTTTCAGAAAGTATAGTGTTGACATAAACATATGCATCTTGGAGTAAAATAAAAAGCCTAAAAACAAATACACATTAATGGACCTCACACTGATCTTTGACAAAATTGCCAAGTACACAACATGATTGATAATGGGTAATTCCTTCAACAACTGATATTGTTATATAATTTGTATATTCACAAGCAGAAAAATAGACCTCCCTCTCACATAATATGTAAAAGATAACACAGCTGGATTAAGACTTAAGAACAAACATGAAATAAAACATGGGGGAAAGGCTCTTGACTTTGTTCCAAGGCAATAATTATTTTTTAGGTATAAAATAGAAAAACTAAACAACTGGGGTTACATCATACTAAAATGAAAATCTTCTGCATAGCAAAGGAAATTCCAACATAACGAAGAGGCAATCTACAGAAAGGACAAAAATACTTGCTAACCATAAAATTAACAAGGAGTTAATTACCAACATATGTGAAGGATTCCTTAAACTGAATAGCCAAAACCAAATAATAGGCAAAAGACTAAATGAGACACTTCTCCAAATAAGATATACGGACGTTCAACAGGTATTTGAAAACATGCTTAATATTACTGGTAATTGAGTTGCAAATCAAACTCCCAGTGAGATATTGCCTCATATCTACTAGGATGGCTATTATTTTAAAGAAAAAGATAAACCAGTTTGGTTAGACTATTGAGGAAAGGAAAGCTTTGTGCTCATGGTCAGAAAAATAAAATGGTACACAAGATACTAAGGAGATAGCTGCACTCCTGTATTCATCACAATATTATCATAGATGCAATATGGAACCAACCCAAATGTCCATCTACAGGCATCTGGATTAAGAAAACTTTAAGATATACCACAGTGCACTATAATTCAGCCTTAAATAAAGTAAAAACTATCATTTGCAGTCTTATGGAGGAAATTATGCTAAGTGAAATAAATTAGTCACAGAAGGACAAGTACTATGTGACTCCTCATATATTAGGCATCAAATATAGTCCAGGATATAGAAGTAGCTAACAGAATGCCATTTACTATGGAATTGGGATAGTGAATTGTTGGGAGCTGTTTGATGGTTAGAAAGTTACAGTTGTACAAGATGATGTGTAGTTCCCATAGTTCACAAGAAGTTGTTGAATACTTAAAAACTTCTTGAAAGTGAACCTTGTGTTAACTGTTCTTACACATTATCCAATAATGGATACTCTTTCTGTTTTCCTCACAAGTAAACTCTTACTTTTCTTTAGTGACTCATTTCAATTGCCATCTAAACTAATTGGCTACTTATATGAAATATGCATATAGACACACACACACTCATACCCAGGTCATTTATTCATATTACATGCAAGAAAGTAGTAGATTCTGCTAAATCATCATTTAACAGAATAAAACCCTGACCCAAAGAAGTCTATATTCAAGTGGAGAAAAGAGCAGAAGTAATTGACACATAAGTCAAAATATCAGAAGTTAAAAATGTGTGGGAGCACTAGGAAAGTTGAAAACTCAGAACTGGATTGGGAGGGAGGCATACATGAGGACATGACAGGAAAGTCAAGACCAAAAATTAAGGAGGACTTTGTAAGAAAAACCTGAAAAGAATCTGGACAACTCATTCAGAAAGAATCAGACATGCATACAAATTTTAAACATATGAAGTAAAATGTAAAATCCTACATAATGAAAACACGTAAAAATGCAAGACACTCTATTAGCAGAAAAGTTTAAAGTTAAAAGGGAAATTATTGTACCTGGTGAGTATTTTTTGAGACACCTAACATGCACAGAAAAGAAGAAAAAGGGAAGACAAATTGAAAAACAGCTCGAGCTTTAGACAGTTGGAATTTAATCCAGTATAGGTGATAATATAGGGGGTTGGTGTACATAAATACCAATGAGGATATAAATAAGACAATACATTCAGGATTTACACATGGGTGTCAATATGATATGCTTAGGACACAAATCTATGTTTTTCCCAGACTTGAGCATGAAAAACAGCTCTTCTCTATGTTTTATGTATTTATGCATGGCAAACACAAACTGAAACATTTGATAAGGATAAAACATGTTAAAATAATAAACTCTAATTCTTATTTTTTGTCAAACAATCCCCCTATTCATTAGTGTTTAGATGTAGTCTCCGGAGATACTTTTGTCAGAAACATGAAAATCATCTTGATTGACTTCCTGCTTCTCACTTAGTCACTGAATTCCCAGAATTTTGGTATAATCTCCAGGTTACTGCTGGGATACATAACCTCTTTTCTGTTCCTAAGGACACTGCCCTAATTGACTTTAGCCTTATGTTCCTTTCATAAATACTCTGAAATGCACCCATATTGATATTGTCCAATTAGCAACATACTTTTGATTGGTGAAGAATTTCAATGACATATTACTAAGTACAGATAAGTGAAATATGCTGAAACCAAGTCCCTTCTTGTCTCTCACCCCCTCAAAATTGTGTAGGTTTTTCCAAAATAACTTTCAATCACATTTTCTCCTTCCATTATCTGGTATATACTTTTTGTGTTTCTTTGCTAAGTAAACGCCTACTTATCTATAGTGCCTCAACTCAGATACCATCTAGAGAGACTCCTTATTAACAATTTGTAATCAGCACCCTTCTTCCCTGATGTTTGGTCCCATGCACATATTGCTAATAAACAGGTTCACAGACAGAATTTTGCTATCAGTAGTAGATAGTGCCTGGTAAAAAGACTAGACTTCCTGCTTCAAGGAAATCCTAAAGATGGAATTCTACTTACTAGGCAATGCACATCCTTCAAAACACCTATATTTTAAAACTAGACTCTAATGTTCTTAACATTACATTCCAAATTCCATCTTGTATTTGGAAAATCTACACTCACACAGACATGCATTCCTAATGAGATTCTAAACATGGAAAAAAATCTCACCTTCAAATACAAATATGGTGATCAGAATAGAGCTTCCCAACAGAAGGAGTGAAAAGGCTACTGACGGACGACGATTGATGTGTCTTATTATAAAAAATGTAAGTAATTTGCTGGGCAGGTCTATTAGTCCTAGGAGAAACTGAGTCAAGAACATGTCCTTCCCCAAAGTCTGAATATCCAACAAGAGGCCATAAGAGCTGAAAAGTGATGAAAACCTGAGAGACAAAGCACAGAGGCATTCAATAAACTCAGTAATGAGCTTACATTTTTTGTGTGTGTGTGTGTGTGTGTGTGTGTGTGTGTGTGTGTGTGAGAGAGAGAGAGAGAGAGAGATCGTTATTTCCTTCAAATGGATGATTAAATGCCCAAATATTCCAAATTCCAAATATTCCAATAGTGAGATGAAAACTTTCATAATACAACAGAAGTTACTTAGAAAAACTTTGGGAATATGAGTAACAGCACAAAGTCTCAATAGTGAATTGAGTTATGTGTTAAATAAGTGAATTTATCAAAACAACATGCATTTTGTCTAGTGCTATAATTGAGTCTTTGTTCTGGGTATGTGTTTCAGGATCCCAAGTGAAAATTGAAAATATCATTATTACAAGACATGGAGGACAAATTTCTTGTTTCATAATTTCCTAGAGGATCATCATAATTGCCAAGTGTGTGCATCCTTTGAAAAATAATATTGACTTACAATATTGTTGGAATTTTTAAAAAATTAACACAAGATAAAAATGAGTCTTCTGTAATTTAGAACAAAATGGTGGTTAATAGTATAGTAAAGACAGTAGGACAGAACATTATACATTTCTAAGTGCAATGTATGCACTTTGTGCATCATGTTAAATTTATATAAGAATATGATTTTATGATTATTAATTATTAAACAGGTTCATTTTCTGGATCCATTTTTAAAAATTTTCCTAGATAAGTAATATAGATTTCTCTCCTCATTATTCTAGTATGTATTATAAGTCATACATGAAGTATGTGTTCAGATATCTATGACAAGAAAAACTGAAAAATATTGGAAGAGAAGAAAGTATTACCCAGAGCTGAGAAAATTATATTTTAAAACATCTATGATCTATGTGGTAATTTATTAATATAACATGCATTTTTGCCAATGATTAAAACAGCTACTATAAAGATAATATGTGACTGTCTCTTCAATTACTTACTGCTTAAAGGAGACCATAATTTCTTTCATAAATAACAGGAGAAAATGATGGTGGATTTAAAAATGTCTTAGAATAATCTTTCTTTCACATTTGAGTTTTTAACTATTGGGAATAAAAGCATATTCACCCAGGCCATTTGTACCTGTTCACCTTATTCAGAAACTACAAGACATAAAACAGCCATATAGGGATGCTTTTCATATCTACATGCATACTTATCAATTAATAAGTGTTGAGAAGCACAGAGAAGTTTTTGGTGATGACTTTCCACATATAAAGTTGTGGGTGCACAGGTTGCCAGTTACCATGCAATGCTTCACCATAAAGACCCATGTGTCTTTAGGGAGGTCAGACTTCTTCTTTTGCTCCCATTTCTCTCATCTTTGAAATCAGGCTAGAAATAAATCTCATATGAGCAAGCAATAAGTTATAAGTTTTATTTTTTCACAGAAATTTATCTATCCCATTATCCAAGTTCTCTCACTGAGCTAATGGTATGATGAAAAGTATATATATTTAGAACAACTGGAGCTTAAGGAAAGATAGGGTCTAATATTACTTAGCCTTTGACATAATGAGTTTTTGTGCAAATGATTCAAGATATTATGCATTAAGTTTAATATTATCATTCCTTCTGCTATAAATAAGATTGATACATTTGCCCAAAAACAAGCTTCCTTTTCCTTGTAATTTAGCAGAACTTTGTTGAGGTTCAATTTACTTTTTCATTTGGGTTCTACTATTTCTCCAGTTCTATAAATTATTACCATCCCATGATCACATTTCCAAAGCCTTGATTCATATGCGTTATGTTTTTTCTTTCCCACATCACTTGTATTTCCCATCCTGTTGTCTTGAATAAAGGGAAGATAAAAGGTGTCTGCTTAAACCAGTCATTACCAAAGAGCTTAGCATGACGCTAAATCTATTCAATGTGTGATCAACTATGAAAATTCATACACTTACGTTAATATGGAGGCAGAAAGAACTACTTTCCGTACTGTAGGATTAATGATGATCTCTTTTACTCTGAAATGTTTACTGGTTACATTCAAATTTTTCCTCAGTTTGGATCTCAAAACCTTCAACAAAGTATAAGGAAGAGGAAAAGAAGAAGGAAAAACCAAAAATAATTAGATTGAGCAAAAGGGACCTTTCCAGAATTGTTCCTTCTACTCCCCCATGCTACCACCACACTACCACAAAACCAAGTCAAAAATGATTCTCTCCTAAAACCACATTGATATGGATGACATTCAAACTATCTACAACAGTTAAAGTAATTTAAATGATTTTAAAATTTTAAAAATGTTCAAAATATATTAACTATGTATTAAAACCTGCTTTCCATGTGATACAAAATATTGTAGAAACACTTTTCCCATAATTCCAGGAAGATTCCAAGATGGCGGCTAGAGGTAGGAAGCAGAAAGCAACCCTCCTATAGTGAAATCTTGGAGAGATGCTGGAGACACACTTTGCAGGCATAATCACCGAGAAAAGGCATAACTTTGACCCCTCCACATCTCCAGCCAGTGCAGAGAATCTCCACTTCACGTTAAATGGAGAAATGAGGAGGGCCCCCGGGGCCGCCAGTGGCCAGTGTCCATACGGCTTGGGAAGACGCGGACCAGGTGAGCTTCGTGGTACCGCGGTACCCCCACAGACAAGCCTGGGCCAGAGCAGCATAGCCCCCTGGACAGACTGACCTCCACCCGGGAAAAAAAAAACAGAAACTGAGTAATAAGCAATAAGAACAGTTAAGACACGCTGGAAAGAGGGTGGGGCACCCTGAGCGCTGAAGATTGGGGGAAGGGAATCCTTCCCGGGACTGTAAATAAACAAGCCAGACGGGCCGGAGAGGCTCTGGCAGGAGCAGGGTGTGCACCCAGCAACCAGGAGCAGGAAAGCTTGTGAGAGGAGGGAAGACCCACTTCCCACGTGAACTGTAAACAAACATGGTGGCCGGCAGGAGCAGCAGCACCACACAGTAAGCAGGAGCAGGAAAGCTTCTGAAAGTGGCAGTGGGAGGAAAACTTCAGAGGAGAGGGGGGAAGACCCACCTCCCACATGAACTGTAAATAAACATGCAGGCCTGACAATGCGGGGGCAGTGTCACCTTTCCCAGTGCTTGGAAAGGGGAAAGCCTGTAGAAGAGGCTCCTGCACAGGAGAACTCTGAGCAAACAAAGCCTGTGGGACCAGGTGAGTGCTAGCTCACCCCAGAGATCTGCATAAATAACGCCGCCAGCTACAGGCTGAGAGCAGCAGGCAGGCAAGCCACAGTTGCAGATACCACTCTCAGAACTGTCTCCAGATGCTTTTTTTTCTTTTTCTCCCTACCTTTGATGAGAGAACAACCGAATTACACCTGCAAGCCGAAAAACTTACTGAAACTGTATTGCATTTGAACTTGGGACACTTGGTGGGGCTTTGTGTGTTTGTGTGTGTGTGTGTGTGTGTGTGTGTGTGTGTGAGTGTGTAGTTTTGTTCTACTTTATGCATCCCCTTTGATGAGACAACTACAGAACAACATCTGAGGCACCAACTCCAGGACTGGAGATTGAGACGGACACCCAAATTATTAAGACTGAAACTGCATTGCATATAAACTTGGAAGTTTTTTGGTTTTTTTTTTTTTAATTTTCTATTTTCCATTTTATTTTAATTCATTTTTATATATAGATATTACTTTCATTTACTTATTTTTTATTTTTTATCTTTGATTTTCAATCCTCTCTCTGTCTCTCTAATGTCTGTTCAGCTTACTGTCGATTAGTACACTAACACTCCCTGTTTATACCTTTGAAACTCTCTTGTCTGATACCTTGTTCTGCTTTCTCCCTCTTGTCTGTATATTTGTTTTCCCCTTTTCTTTAACTTCTTGCTTTCCATCTCAGCTCACTCTTCCATTCTAAATATTACCATTGTTATTATTACAAGCTAGAAAATACTTAATTACACACAGTACAGGGACAGTAACAACACCAAGGACAATGACGGGAAGACAGAAAAAACAGGGAAACCAGTTTCCCCACAGCAAAAAATTAGTACAGGAACCAGAGGGGAATGAAGAGAACAGAAACTCAGATCCAGACTCCAACAAAATGAAGATAAACTATGCCAAAGGACCCAATGAAGCCCACAAGAATAATTTAAAAGAAGACATACTACAAGTACTCAATGAGAATTTTATAGAGATGATACTGGATAGGGTCAACCAAAATGTACAGGAGACACTCAAGAAATTCCAAGACAATAAAAATAGAGAATTTGAAAAAGCAAAAGAAGAAATAAAGGAAACCATAGAAGCACTGTATAAACACCAAAGTGAAAGAGAGAACACAATGAATAAATGGATAAATGAACTCAGGACAAAAATAGACAACAATAAAGAAGAAAACTGCCAGGATATGGAAAACCTCAGAAAAAAGAATGAAACAGAACTGCAAAACAAAATGGAAGGCCAATCCAGCAGAATAGAACAAACAGAAGACAGAATCTCAGAACTTGAAGATGAAATGGTAATTAAAGGAAAAACCGAAGAACTATTAATTAAACAACTCAAGACCTGTGAAAAGAAAATGCAAGAACTCACTGACTCCATCAAAAGACCAAACTTGAGAATCATGGGCATCGAAGAAGGAGAAGAGGTGCAAGCGAAGGGAATGCGTAATATATTCAACAAAATAATAACGGAAAATTTCCCAAATCTAGAGAAAGATATTCCCATACAGATGCAAGAGGCCTCCAGGACACCAAACAGACCAGATCAAAATAGAACTACTCCACGACATATCATCATTAAAACAACAAGTTCAGAAACTAAGGAAAGAATATTGAAGGCTGTAAGAGAGAAAAAACAAGTAACATACAAAGGTAAACCCATCAAAATCACAGCAGACTTCTCAACAGAAACATTAAAAGCAAGAAGAGCGTGGGGTGAGATCTTCCGGGCACTGAATGAAAATAACTTCAACCCCAGGATACTCTATCCAGCAAAGCTATCATTCAAAATAGATGGAGCAATAAAAGTCTTCCATGATAAGCAGAAACTAAAACAATATGTGACCACAAAGCCACCATTACAAAAGATTCTGCAAGGGATCCTGCACACAGAAAGTGACACCCAACTTAACCATGAAAAGGCAGGCAGCACCAAACCACAGGATAAGAAAAAGCAAGACAGTAGAGAGTAACATCAAGTTAGGTACACACAATCAAACCTTCAAACAACTAAGACAACTAAATGGCAGGAATCACCACATACCTATCAGTACTAATGCTTAATGTTAATGGACTTAATTCACCCATCAAAAGACACCGTTTGACAAAATGGATTAAAAAAGAAGATCCAACAATTTGTTGCTTACAGAGACTCATCTCACCGACAGAAATAAGCATATGCTTAGGATGAAAGGCTGGAAGAAGATTTACCAAGCCAATGGCCCCCGAAAACAAGCAGGAGTAGCAATACTTATCTCTGACAAAGTAGACTTCAAACCTACATTGATCAAACGAGATAAAGAAGGACATTCCATACTAATAAAAGGGGAAATAGACCAAAAGGAAATAATAATCATCAATCTGTATGCACCCAATGTCAATGCACCCAATTTCATCAAACATACCCTGAAAGACCTAAAAGCATATATAAACACCAACACAGTGGTTGTGGGAGACTTTAACACTCCATTATCATCAATAGATAGGTCATCCAAACAAAAACTCAATAAAGAAATTCAAGATCTAAAATATGCAATAGATCAAGTGGACCTAGTAGATGTCTATAGAACATTTCATCCAACCTCTACACAGCAGCCCATGGAACTTTCTCCAAAATAGATCATATCCTAGGGCACAAAGCAAGCCTCAGCAAATATAAGAAAATAGAAATAATACCGTGCATACTATCTGACCACAATGCAGTAAAAGTAGAACTCAACAACAAAAGTAAAGACAAAAAACATGCAAACAGCTGGAAACTAAATAACTCATTACTTAATGAAGAATGGATCATCGATGAAATAAAAGAGGAAATTAAAAAGTTCCTGGAAGTCAATGAAAATGAAAACACAACCTACCGGAACAAGCTACCGGAACAGCTAAGGCAGTCTTGAGAGGAAAGTTTATAGCCATGAGTGCATATATTAAAAAGACTGAAAGATCCCAAATCAATGACCTAATGATACATCTCAAACTCCTAGAAAAACAAGAACAAGCAAATCCCAAAACAAATAGAAGGAGAGAAATAATAAAAATAAGAGCTGAAATCAATGAAATAGAAACCAAAAAAACCATACAAAGAATTAATGAAACAAAAAGTTGGTTCTTTGAAAAAATAAACAAGATCGATAGACCCCTGGCAAACCTGACTAAAATGAGGAGAGAAAAAACCCAAATTAGTAGAATTAGGAATGCAAAAGGGGAGATAACAACAAACACCATGGAAGTCCAGGAAATCATCAGAGACTACTTTGAGAACCTATATTCAAATAAATTTGAAAATCTAAAGAAATGGACAGATTTCTAGATACATATGATCATCCAAAACTGAACCAAGAGGAAATTAATCACCTGAATAGATATATAACACAAAATGAAATTGAAGCAGCAATCAAGAGTCTCCCCAAAAAGAAAAGTCCAGGACCTGATGGATTCTCTGCTGAATTCTATCAGACCTTTAAAGAAGAACTGATACCAACCCTCCTTAAACTGTTCCACGAAATAGAAAGGGAAGGAAAACTGCCAAACACATTTTATGAAGCCAGTATTACACTTATCCCAAAACCAGGCAAAGACACCTCCAAAAAGGAGAACTATAGGCCAATCTCCTTAATGAACATTGATGCAAAAATCCTCAACAAAATAATGGCAAACCGAATTCAGCAACACATCAAAAAGATTATTCACCACGACCAAGTAGGCTTCATCCCAGGGATGCAGGGGTGGTTCAACATACGAAAATCAATAAACGTAATAAACCACATTAACAGAAGCAAAGACAAAAACCACTTGATCATCTCAATAGATGCAGAAAAAGCCTTTGATAAGATCCAACATCATTTCATGATAAAAGCTCTAAGAAAACTAGGAATAGAAGGAAAGTTCCTCAACATTATAAAAGCTATATATGACAAACCTACAGCCAGCATTATACTTAACGGAGAAAAACTGAAACCATTCCCTCTAAAATCAGGAACCAGACAAGGATGCCCACTATCTCCACTCCTATTCAACATAGTACTGGAATTCCTAGCCAGAGCAATTAGGCAAGAAGAAGGAATAAAAGGAATACAAATAGGTAAAGAAACTGTCAAAATATCCCTATTTGCAGACGACATGATCCTATACCTTAAAGACCCAAAAAACTCTACTCAGAAGCTTCTAGACATCATCAATAGCTATAGCAAGGTAGCAGGATATAAAATCAACATAGAAAAATCATTAGCATTTCTATACACTAACAATGAGCAAACTGAAAAAGAATGTATGAAAACAATTCCATTTACAATAGCCTCAAAAAAATCAAATACCTAGGTGTAAACCTAACAAAAGATGTGAAAGACCTCTACAAGGAAAACTATACACTTCTGAAGAAAGAGATTGAGGAAGACTATAGAAAGTGGAGAGATCTCCCATGCTCATGGATTGGTAGAATCAACATAGTAAAAATGTCGATACTCCCAAAAGTAATCTACATGTTTAATGCAATTCCCATCAAAATTCCAATGACATTCATTAAAGAGATTGAAAAATCTACTGTTAAATTTATATGGAAACACAAGAGGCCACGAATAGCCAAGGCAATACTCAGTCAAAAGAACAATGCAGGAGGTATCACAATACCTGACTTCAAACTATATTACAAAGCAATAACAATAAAAACAGCATGGTACTGGCACAAAAACAGACATGAAGACCAGTGGAACAGAATAGAGGACCCAGATATGAAGCCACACAACTATAAGCAACTTATCTTTGACAAAGGAGCTAAAAATATACGATGGAGAAATAGCAGCCTCTTCAACAAAAACTGCTGGGAAAACTGGTTAGCAGTCTGCAAAAAACTGAAACTAGATCCATGTATATAAACCCTATACCAAGATTAACTCAAAATGGATCAAGGATCTTAATATCAGACCCAAACTCTAAGTTGATACAAGAAAGAGTAGGAAATACTCTGGAGTTAGTAGGTATAGGTAAGAACTTTCTCAATGAAACCCCAGCAGCACAGCAACTAAGAGATAGCATAGATAAATGGGACCTCATAAAACTAAAAAGCTTCTGTTCATCAAAAGAAATGGTCTCTAAACTGAAGAGAACACCCACAGAGTGGGAGAAAATATTTGCCAACTATACATCAGACAAAGGACTGATAACCAGAATATACAGGGAACTTAAAAAACTAAATTCTCCCAAAACTAATGAACCAATAAAGAAATGGGCAAGTGAACTAAACAGAACTTTCTCAAAAGAAGAAATTCAAATGGCCAAAAACACATGAAAAAATGCTCACCATCTCTAGCAATAAAGGAAATGCAAATTAAAACCACACTAAGATTCCACCTCACCCCTGTTAGAATAGCCATCATCAGCAACACCACCAACAACAGGTGTTGGCGAGGATGCGGGGAAAAAGGAACCCTCTTACACTGTTGGTGGGAATGTAGACTAGTACAACCACTCTGGAAAAAAATTTGGAGGCTACTTAAAAAGCTGGACATCGATCTACCATTTGATCCAGCAATACCACTCTTGGGGATATACCCAAAAGACTGTTACTCCAGAGGCACCTGCACATCCATGTTTATTGTGGCACTATTCACAATAGCCAAGTTATGGAAACAGCCAAGATGCCCCACACTGACGAATGGATTAAGAAAATGTGGTATCTATACACAATGGAATTTTATGCAGCCATGAAGAAGAACGAAATGTTATCATTCGCTGGTAAATGGATGGAATTGGAGAACATCATTCTGAGTGAGGTTAGCCTGGCCCAAAAGACCAAAAATCGTATGTTCTCCCTCATATGCGGACATTAGATCAAGGGCAAACACAACAAGGGGATTGGACTTTGAGCACATGATAAAAGCGAGAGCACACAAGGGAGGGGTGAGGATAGGTAAGACACCTAAAAAACTAGCTAGCATTTGTTGCCCTTAATGCAGAGAAACTAAAGCAGATACCTTAAAGCAACTGAGGCCAATAGGAAAAGGGGAACAAGTACTAGAGAAAAGGTTAGATCAAAAAGAATTAACCTAGAAGGTAACACCCACGCTCAGGAAATCAATGTGAGTCAATGCCCTGTATAGCTATCCTTTTCTCAACCAGCAAAAACCATTGTTCTTTCCTATTATTGCTTATACTCTCTCTACAACAAAATTAGAAATAAGGGCAAAATAGTTTCTGCTGGGTATTGAGGGGGTAGGGGGGAGAGGGAGGGGGCGGAGTGGGTGGTAAGGGAGGGGGTGGGGGCAGGGGGGAGAAATGAACCAAGCCTTGTATGCACATATGAATAATAAAAGAAAAATTAAAAAAAAATTCCAACATTATTTGTCTATAATTAGAATCACTGTTGTACTCTTGTTTGACACAGCCCTAACTAGCTAAATGATGCTCGATTAAGCAATGATTGTACTAAAACACCAGCAAACTCTCCCTACAAATTTCTCAGTACATTAATTACATAAGGCAATCTCTAGCCCCTTTGTGATGAATCATCTCCTTCTCCCTGGTGGACTATAAAAAGTATTTCAGTTAAATTTTCTATTATTTCCTTAGAGATTTTTATATATGCTAGAACTCTACTCACTTATACAAGCAATTATTGCTTTTTTATATTCAGCAAACATAGAAATTATATTTTATATTAAAATACTAACTTTATGAAATAAATATAAATACTTTTTATCTAATCATACATATCATTTTAGCAATTAAAAATATTATGGCAAGATCAACAATGGGATATTCACATCTAGCTACTTAACTCCACTGCACAGACATCATACACTCAAGCATATTTCAAACCTAAATGATCATCTTCCCATTGATATGCAAAAAACTATAATACCTCAGGGCATCAATGAAACTTTTGGACATTTTTGTTTTTCTCTAAATGTATATAATGATTGTAACTTACCTGACATCCACAGAAATCTATCATGAAATCTAATAGTCATTAGACATCTGAAAAAGCCTACTTTACTGCAGTCATGGGAAGAAACAGAGATCACATAAAAAAGAAAATGCCTGTGATGTGCTTTGTTTAATCCTACTTGTCCAATTAGAAAATGTTGATGGTACACACAGACTCCAAATTAAACTATCTTTGGAATTAATTTGCTGAGATCTCAGTCCTTGTCTTTCAATGGGTTCCAAACCATTTCAAGTACATATGACAACTGGATAATTCAAGCACTATGTCTACTGTGTGATAGCAGCTAGGAAGAATTATAATATGTTTTACTGTAACTCATCAGCATGGATTTCATATCAGAAGAATAAGGACAATAGACCCTGACTGCAGAGAATCACAGAGTGACTGAGAATACATCAGTGACTCCTCAGCTCCTTCAATGCCCAGCACAAGGCATACAAGGACTTGTGAAACACCTGTACAACTACCCATAGTCAAATCTTTTTAAAATTCCAAGCATAATCCTAAAATCATTTTCGCAAAGTCACAAATACCAGGCATGAAAGGTACTAATAATAAGTCAGTCTCTGAGTCTGTCCTGCTTCTTAGATTTCTTAGATATGTATATCAATAACTTACTCATTTTTTTCATCTATTGGTAGTGGTAAGGAATGTGATTAAAGAAATGGTAATTACTACTACCTCAGTAGTCAGACTTTCTGCAGCATCTTTCTTCCCATTGATATATGCAATTTTCTGTAGTTCTCTTAATGCTCGTTCTGTTTTTCCAGTTGTTATGAGCCAGCGGACTGACTCAGGTATCCAACTGTTCACAAGGAGACAGAGGGAGGTTTTAAGGTGAGGTGTCAGGTTTCAGTCCAACCTGATGCCTATACATTCAAGGAAAGGAATAATCTTTCCAGCATAACAAATTCCTCATTATGAAAAACAGCATTGCTGGATTGATCTAACTCCATACCTACACATCAATATCACAGTCATACCGTTACTAATCATCCAATATGTTGGCAACAGAAAGCAGAATTTTTCATTTTGATTTCTGAGTATAGACTAAATATTCCCTGATTCAAACAGTAAATATGTTCCTCTTTTAATATTCCATTTTATTTTTTTCTACTCAAGAAATTACTGCAATCTCCATATGTGATTATACTTTGGTATTCACAATTTTTAAGAATTGATACTTGCATATTCTTAAAAGTTTAAAATAAAAAAAATTATATTGCCAATTTTACATGATACCCAGTATTTTAGCCTTGAGAAGATTAATTAAATTTTATGAATAACAGAAAAAGAGCTTTGGGAATGAAGGGCCATTTTATCTCTCAGTCAACAGAAATCAGAAAAAGATTCATCTTCAATCAACTTTATCAGTGAAACACATCTAGGAGTATTTCTCTGTGGGTTTATCTGAGAAGGATATCAACAACTGAAGTGGAAAAAAAATAATACTTAAATGAAAATTTTAAGCCACCATTCACCTAATTTTATAAATTTAGCAAAGTGCTCATTCTACTACCACTGGGTTTTTCTCTTTGGATTTTTTAAATCTATTTTTCTGAATATTGCACTTAAAAATGGCCCTAAGTACAAGGATAAATAGCAATATATTTCTTGGTAGATATAACCATACATTCATTTATCACAAAGAGTTAAGCTAAATGGCTAAGCACATAACGTAGTTCACTTACCAGATAAAAAGTGAAATAATGAAGTAAGGCAAGATGAGGGCCAGTTGGAGCATGTGCCAGTCTCGAAAAACATAAGCCAGTCCTGCAAATAATGCCTGGCCAACACTCCAAGATAATCCAAAGACCGTAACAACTGCAGGATGCCATGTTGATGAGGTCCCTTCTAAAACTAAAAGCAAAAGAAATGAAGATATTAAACACTATTTAAGGTGGATAACAGCAAAAATTAATAAAACCTGTAGAGATCAAAGCAACTTACGAAGTAAAATGGTGTTGTTTTGTATAGCACTAATGCAAGCAGACATCAGGAATCTCAAAATACAGTAAACGGAGAAAATGGGGGCAAATGCACAGCAGGTGCCCAGGATCCCATAGGCTAGGCAACCTGTGACCAGCAGTGGCTTCCGTCCAAATCTATGATGATGGTGACAACAGTTAATGTAGTGAAAACTATAGCAAGCAACTGTGTATCCTTAGACTACTTCCACAGAATTCTCATAACTGTTATTGTCTAGTTTTCCTAGTCAACTGATCACCCCCATAATGTTTATAATAGAAATGGTAATTAAACTGAGCTTGCTTTACTTAAATATTAATGACAAGTCACTAATAACACGTCTTTAACATAGAAAAATCCTCTGTCATCTGACCCATCAAAGTCAGTGCCTTCCAAGTTTAAATACATACCTTTGCTCTATTTCTCACCATTAATGGATACCCATTTTAATAGCTGGATTATTTCCTTCTTATAAAGATTAATGGCATGAATTAATAATATCAATCTTAATCTATTCATTTTAAGTCTGTCATATTATTAAATGGGTCATTTTGTTTCTAGAAATTTTCTCAATAGTTGCCTAATCAATTACCATATTTTAAAAGATTTTTCTTCTTTTCAGAAAATTTCTTAAAGTCTGACCACAAACAAATGTTCCTAAATTATTATGTTAAGGACACTATATACATTTTAAAAGGGGACATGCTCACAAAATATGTTTTGAGTCAGTCTGAGTTTTTCTTATCCCCACTGCCCAATTAAAGGATAACTTGAATCTACAGTCCTCAAAACATTTTAGATACTTAACTTCACCTCTCATGGATTTATCTTTTGTGAGCTTTGTTCATCAATCATATTTATTACACATCATTTCTTCAAATGCTTACCTCCCTTTTTTTTCCACACCTGCCTCCTCCCTGGGAATTTTTTATTCTTTATGGGCCACAACTATTTGAAGCTTGCACCATTGACTTTGGTCTTCCAAAAGTTCTCATTTCTTTGAACCATATCCATCTACCGTCTAGCCTCTGCTCTCTGCATATTTAGATTCTTGTAATGTGCATAATTCTCAATAAAATAAGTACAAATTATTTAACTGTGTGTTTAGTTTTATAGAAGATCCTTAATCAGAAGAAGACTTACCTGTCAGAAAAGATGCCATTTACAGTGGTACCCATCAAATACCCTGTCATTGAGATAGTCTGTGCAAAGTATCTGAATGACTGAGAATCACATACTAAGTCCCACTGGAAAAGATTGAATAGAAAATAATATAGCCTGTAAGTAATTTGGGCAGTCTAGAAGAGGCCATAAATACAGCTAATGAGTAGACTGGTTAGTGTATTGAGAAAAAGTATTAAAATTACCTTTTAATAGAGACAATGGCTATATTCTAAGTACCACTGTAAAATCTGGGATCCTATGTTTGGCCACAATTATTACTATAGAAAATACTCGTGTTGTAGTATAGATTAAAATTTCGGTAGCAAAAGAGGAATGCAATATGTATATAAAAGAATATCAATATAACAATTTGCAATAGAAGTAAAGTTCATAATACTTTAGTTTATAGTATTAGTTAACCTTCCCACACCATTTAGAGTGCATCAAGAATTTTCTCCCTCAAATACTAAGCTATGGGATTGAAGTCAGTATTTTGAATGTAAAGCAAAAGTCACAATTTGAAATAAAACCATTTTTCATTTGTACAACCAGTAGGAAAATTGATTTTCTTTTTTGAAAGTCTAATACAGCAAAAGTACAAAATGGGCAGACACTAATAAAACCTAATGTATAACCTGAAGAACACTATAAAGAAAATGACTTAAGTGTGGGTTTCTACCATGTACACTTTAAATGAACAAACAAACTAATAAGCTGGAGGGCAAAGAAAGTAGAAAGAACACTGGAGATGATCCAAGAGCAGAAGACAGCTTAGACAAACTGTATTTTCATCAAATCTCTTACAACCTTTTGCATCCTAACCTGGGGGGAATCCATGAGGGAGTTGGAACTCAATGGGGATGCAATAAAAGCCAAAAACAAGATCCCAAGAGAAGACAGCAAGCTTTTTACAGAGGCTCTCTTAACAACATATGACACTGAGGGCAAGACTGAATATGCATATTCAAAATCAGACTTTGTGGAAATCTGTGTGGCCTTAGATTGGATAAAAGAATACACAAAAGTATTAAATAACATGAATAAATCTGATAAATGTAGAATTCAAATGAATCAGAAGTCTTCCATGAAAGAAAGAATAGGATAGGATGAGATAGATTAGAAAAAAATATGCCTTCAAAGAGAGGATGTTAGAGTGAGAAACTGTACAAACAGAGACATGATGAGAGTTAGAAGAACTGATAATACCTTAGTCAAAGTATAGCTAGAACCATAAACATTTACTATACAGATCATCAAACAGTATTTCCTACTCTCCATTTCTTGAGGTTTTGAGCTTCCATGGGATCCCTGAATCAAGATGCAGTGTGAGTGTAATAACACAAAAAACTAAAGAAGAGAATTAATTTAATTCAATGAGAACATGCCCATAAAGAGGAAAAAATAACAGGAAAGTGATTGAACTGTGAAAACATTGTTATTGAATATTATATATTCTCTTATTATAAATGGAAGCTAAAAAGTAAAATGAGGTGGAGGACACTTGTAAATCCTTCACTCAAGAGGCTGAGGAAGGAAGATCATAAGTTTGAGGCCAGACTGAGTTACAAAGCCAGTTCAAGCCAGCCTGTGATACATAGCAAAATCTGTTTTAAAACAATGGAAACTCAATACCTAGTCAAACCTTGCCATAGAAACATAAATTATATTACAACTTAGTTACATATTCATATGCATTAAGTTGCTGCAAGTTAAACATACTATGAAGATTTTGTTGTCACAAACTGTTGTAAGTACTGGAAAGGAATCTGCAGAATGAAAACAGGTATACTAAGGATCATGGAAGTTGTCTAGGAAGAAAAGCACTTTAAAGTGAATTAGGAATGGTCTCAAGCTAGACTACGAGGATGATTTTTAGAAGAGAACATATACTAAATAGATATAAAGATAGATATAAATCCTGTAATCCTAGCTACTCAGGAGGCAGAGATCAGTAGGATTGTAGATCAAAGCCATCTTGGCCAAAAATTCTGTAAGACCCTATCACGAAAATACCTAACACAAAAAAGGGATGTCAGAGTGGCTCAAATAGTAAAGCACCTCCCTAGCAAGAATAGGACCTGAGTTCAAACCCCAGTATCACCAAAAAAATTTTTTTAAGGTGGAAAGAGGAGAGAGACCAAAATGGTGGATAGCTGAAGGACCCTGGGACACTGAGATCCATGATTACAGGAGAATACTTCATATATGTGGTAACAATGGCTGTTTTTGCCAACTAAGATACTGTCAATACATAAGGTACATATAAAGTACAATGACTGACCCTTAAATTAGCTTTTTATAGCACATAACAACCCCAGAAGTCTGGGCACTATGCATTTGCTGTAGAGCTGGAGCAGGCCTGGCCCCTGGAAAGCTGTTTTTTCCTTCTTTTGTGTTGGTTTCTTTTCTCTGCTTTTGAAAAACGCAACACAGAACTGCACAACGAGTTATGCAAGCCTCTGGGATGTCCTGGACCCACCATAATTTGCGGACACAGAGCCTCAGACTGCTGCCTGCCTATACCTTCCTGGAGCTGCCTCTATTCCACTGAGTGAAACTGCAACCCTACCAGGTGAGCATGACACATCATCTGCTGTGGAGGTAACCACATTGCCCACAGCTGGTGAGCAGATTGCACCCATTCTGGACAAATTTGGTGGCCAAATAAAGGGAAGGAACATTTCACCTCTAGTAAGTGGAGATGGGGTGGAACACTGAACTGATCCAGCCTGTATGAGAACAGGTTGGTCCATCCACAGTCCAGTGAAAATAATATATTACACCACCTTGGAGAAACTGGTAGTGAGCTGAAACTGGCACACTTCTAAGAGAAAAGTGGTCAACCCAAAAGCTCAATTCTAGCTGCCAGGTTTGCCCTACAGACAGTAGAGACTGGTGACAGCTCACATACCAGCTCATTGCAAGACCACTTCAGGGACTCTGCCTGCACCAGATGGCCCATTCTACCAAGGAAAGCCTGGGCTTGAACACCCTGAGCCAATCCCCCCTAAGCTGTCCAATAAGGAGGGACAACATCCATTGCCACATAGCCCAGCATACTTACCTTAAGAAGAGACACAAAGAAAGCCCCTGTCAAAAGTGTCAGCACCAGGATTAGAAATCGGAGGAAAGAGCCAAGAACACTCATTGAACTGAGAAGAAACTCATTCCTTTCCATACCAAGGAAGAAATTTGTACAAGAAACACACATATTATATATATATATTATATTTATATATATTAGTATTTATTTTTAATTTTTTTAGTTTGTTGTTATCTATCTCCTGCTTCTCTCCTTCCAACTATCAATTTGCTTCATCCTCCTTGTTCCACTTTCCTTTCTCCTCCCCCTTTTTTCTTCTCTTTTCTTCTTTTCTCCCTTTATTTCTTCTCTTTACCTTCCTCTGTGCCCCCTTCCTTTCCCTCCACTGTCTCTACATTCTTCAACTCTCTAAACACCAATGTTACACAATACCTCCATCTTTCCTACCCCTCTATAATCCCTAACAATAACACCATCCCCCACAATGACTGAACTGTACATTTATACACATTAGGGCCATATTATCCTGTAACCCCTGCACCTCATACTTTTCTCTTACCCCTCTTCTTGTGTCATCTTTAAATTACATAAATATCTGTCTCTATGCAAACATTTGTTATCTCCCAATACCTGCTGCTTATACATAATATCATCAATGGTTTTTTTTAATATATTATGTGAATAACTGGTTTGGCATTGAATCTGTAAATTTGTTATTGCTAAGTTATGCATCCATGTTAGAGAACTGAAATATCACAACAACCCAGTGAACAACTAAGGTAGTGAGAGCGTAGACTCAAGGGAAATATAACAGGTAATTAAAAGTCCCAACCAACCAACGACACACAAGCAAAGCACAAATAGAAACATGTAGTGAAAAAGAAGGCAGGATAATATGACTCCTCAAAAGACTAGCAATGGCATAACAGAGGACTCGACCCAGAAAAGTTATGATTCAAAATTGAAGGAAGATTAAAAATCTTTCATGATAAACAAAAATTAAAACACTATGTGACCACTAAACCACCACTACAGAAGATCCTGAAAGGAATCCTACACACAGGAGATGAAAACAAACATAGCCATGACAGGCTGGAAATTATTAAACCTCAAGAGAAGAACAGACAAGTAATCTAAGAGTAACATAGAATTATTTGCACACACACAAACCCTTACACAACAACAACAAAAAAAACTAAATGGCAGGAATCACCACATACCTTTCAATATCAATGCTGAATGAAAAGACATTGATTAGCAAACTGGATTAAAAAGGAAAAGCTGACAATCTGTTGTTAACAAGAAACCCACCTTATTGACAGAAACAAACATTGCCTTAGGCTGAAAGGGTAAAATAAGATTTACCAAGCTAATGGTCCCAGAAAATAGACAGGAGTAGCAATACTTACATCTGATAGAGTAGACTTCAAACCTAAATTTGTCAGAAGACACAAAGAAGGTCACTTCATACTAATGAAAGGAATAATACATCAAAAAGAAATAACAATCATTCACTTATTTCTTCCCAATGTTTGTGCACCCAACATCATTAAGCATACACTAATGGACTTAAAAACACAGAGAGACCCCAACTAAGTAGTGGTGGGAGACTTCATTACTCCTCTGTCACAAAGTCCAGACAAAATATCAACAAAGAAACTCTAGAATTAAATGACACCACAGGCCAAATGGACCTGACAGATGTCCACAGAGTATTCCATCCTGCAACAGCACAATATACATCCTTCTCAGCAGCCCATGGAAATTTCTCCAAAATAGACCATATTTAGGTCATGAAGTAAGTCTTAACAAGTAAAAGAAATTTGAAATAACCCTCTGCATATGGTCTGACCACAATGCAATAAAACTAGAACTCAGCACAAACGAAATAGTGGAAAATACTCAAAAACCTGGAGACTGAACAACGCATTACTCCATGATCAGTGGGTCATCTAAGAAATAAGGGAGGAAATCAAAATTTCCTGGAATCTAACAAGAATGAAAGCACAACCTATCTGAACCTATGGGACACAGCAAAAT